CGCTAAAAATAGTATATATACCACGGTAGAGAAGTCTATTATTGCCTTCGCACCTTACACCCCTCGGCGCAAGCGCCTCGAGATGTAATCTTGGTGCTCAGGCAATAATAGTTGACTTCTCTACCTTGATATATAATGTACTATTACCGGTTACACCCCATGTGGCATGTGTGCTGTAATTTGTGTTAATTTGCCGTTGTTGCTCATATTTGTTGTAAAATTCCTGAACGAATCATTCAAATTCTCTGGATAGGACGAGAAAATAATGTCTATCGATGAAGGGGCTGCAAGATACAAATTGAAACCGAGAGCAGTGGTTTTTGAGCAAACATGGTAATATTATTGTTTATTAATTTGAATAAGCAATGGTAATATTGGTAATATTAAGGTAATATCACAGATTTAAACACTCAAATCCGTGGTAATATTGTCTGTTATATCATTGAGTAATTAAATATGATCACTCGACGGTTATATTCAAAGGTTCCATCTGGTATTTCAAATAAGCGCGCAATCTTTCAGCACTCAATTTAAAAACAAACAGAAACCTTATTTAATAATAAACTGCAATTATTGTTGACTTTAATATACAAAAGATGTCAATACGTGATCATCTATATGCATTATGTGTTGCCTACAGGTTAGAAGTAAAAGAAATTATAAGATTATTTTGTGCTTTGATACCTAGCTATCACATGAGTAGGTATGGCATGGACTTGAAAACTACTTCGCGTAAAAGTTTCGGTTTTTGTAAAAAAAAATTGTAGAATTCGGTGATGTGCAACGTGAAAGTTTGGGGGCGATAGTGCAAATCGTATGTCCTCCCACCTCCCACAACACCCAACGAGTGCTGTAACTTAACTACTTAATTAGGAAGAACTAATCGGCGCTACTCTTTTGTTTTTTAACGAGGCCAGTGCAGCATAACTTGATCTGAAGCAAAACAAATCAAACGTTTATAATAAAATACTTGCAAAAACAATTACGTTGTAATAAAGTTTGAGATGAAGGATTATCGATTATAGTTTATGTTATCGTTTGTTTCCCTTTCGAACTGGAACTGGAACAGATTGGTAGCATACTCTAAATTACACGAATTTATGAAAACTTTAAACAAAGGATAGGTACGAGTACAAGCCAAAGAAATCTTTTCCATTTGCAGAAATCGACCTGAGAGGATTTTATATTTCAATCCTAGATGACAGTTTCATAAGTCACATTTGAAGTAACATTACTTAGCAATTTCGAACGGATTTGAGTATTTAAAACGGAAATTATGATCCAGGTTTAATGGAAAATACGTTGTTCTCCAACCACCTGAATAAGACTATTTTGTTACACTTTTAGGTACAAAAATGTCATCGGTATCACCATGGTAACTGTACAAAAAGTAGTTACTTTTCGGACTAGTTTGAATTTGAACGAATTCCTGTTTAAGGAATTGCTAATTTCTTGATTTGGTTTTCCAAGATTCTTGCTGTATCATGTTTATTTCTGGCTTTCACAGATACCGCTAAAGTCAACATGACTTCGGTGAGCATATACAAAAAAATGGTAGAGAATACTATTTCCATTTCCACTTTAATTCAGACTGGGGTTTTATAACATACCTAACTTTTTAAGGGATCATAGATATAGTATTCAAAAACACGTACAATACGTAAACCTTAGGTTCGAAGGGGACATATTTACAAGATTTAATTGTTAATGACATTGTAAGCGATGAATTGGGGGCTGTCATTTAATTTTAGCTTCACCCAAAATAAATCTCTTAAGCTCCTTTAATTTATCGGCACTATACCAATTATTGGAAATATCAACTTTTCTTTAGTTGAATACACCGGACACGAACGAAAATTAGAATACGGAAGTCAAAGCGGTAATATTCAAGGCAGATCTTCATTTGTTGTAGGTAGTTATTTTGGTTGTATAAAGTTAGGCGTCCTTTAGAAGAAGAAAGAAGAAGTATCATGTACAAGTAGACATAGGAAATTCCTATAGGAAATTACTGTCTACTTCTACATGAATATCACTATAATAAATGTAACAATAGAGCAACCAATGAACCGCTAGGTTAAGCCCAGGGCCACAACAACAATAATTCCAAATTTTTACAACAAAATCTAAATTGGTCGCCTCCCCAGGAAAAAATACCCCACTAAACCCTATGACTTCGACCATAAATCCCGAGTAGCGGGGGAGTGGACCTGCTACAGTAGCGCACTCAACCCTAGTACACTCAACTAAAAAATGGAAGCTATTAATTAAAACTCGTTAGGTGTTGCAACATTTACTGGTACCAGCCGACGAAACTTTAAAATTGAAATTACCCAAACAACGAAATCGCAGAAAGTGAATCTTATTAACTAGTAAATATGCACAATTGTCTTCAAAAACCCATTAATTTGTTGAAATAAATATAGTTACCTATTCAATTATTATTGTAACTATGATACGATAAAAAATATTTAGTTCATCTGTCATAATTATACAATATACATGTTTTCAGTTTATTGCTCTAATAGTTTCAACATACTAAATTCTCTACTGGTACCTACCCTCAACAATATTTAAGTATGACACAAATAGTATTAGCATATGCATTATACCTATGCTACACCCGAATGAAGTAGGTGAGTAGATGATAAGAATTCAAACTACTGATATTGGATAGAAAGTCGAAAATGCAAGAAGTCAGCATTTTATTGTTAAAATTTCTATTACGTATCCATAAATGTAACAAGCGTTTGTTTTGACTGAGACGGTGTGCGAGTAGGTACGTGCCTATCGCTCAAAGCAACCTATTGCTATTTCCTGATTGCCTAATTTATTGCAAAATTCGTAAACTAATTCTGGCCTACCTTTTGTCTTTCATCTTTGATTCAATGAAATCATATTATAGCAGATAGTGGCTGGTTCATTCTGGTTATTCTTATTTTAAGCATTATTCGCATTTGGCAACTAATATTGCGATCCTGATCATTTTCTAAGTGTGAACGTGTTCCATAATTAAAAAGTATCTGGAATCGGAATACACAAGCCTCATACGTACCTACATACAAATAGCAAAATCCTAGTTAAATATTAAGGAAGTTACCTACTGTTAATTACTTATCATTCATGCTGACCAACCAATAACATAATAATTTGGTAAACTGTACTCATTGTTAATGGGGTAGTACTGACAGTTTGTTTAGCATTTATAGGATTTAAGTGTGAAGCTTTGAATCTCTAACTGTAAAGGTCTAAGATTGCTTTCCCTCTGTTTCAAGTTTTTATAGTTCAGCATAAATAACAGAAAGACCCATAAGATAACCCCAATGGTTCGGTGGCATTAGTGGATACGAGAATGATTGTGTTCCAGCATTAAGTTGGGCCCCCAATTAAAAGTTTTGATATTCTTATAAACGACAAGCGCACAAAATTTGAGAATTGGCGCACAAATTAGCACAAAATGAGCACCATATTTTGGTGATGTAACAAATTGGGGTGCTAATTTAACCCAGCCGTCGGCGCATCTAGTGTACATAATTTGGAAAATTAATAATAGTTGAAACTATACACATTTAAAACGGTTAGAATTTGACATTCATACGGTTTTCTCGTTTCGGAAACGTAATTTGTCCACAACTGCACCTTTAATTAAAATGATTTAATAAATACCGTACGTTGCAGTTTGAAATAGTTCTGGGGATAATTTCTCTTCTCGGTAGTGCCTAAGTTAGCGGTGGACAAAACTCAAAAGGTAGCACAATTTCAAACAGAAAGTCAGGTTACCGTTTTTAAAAAGGCCGATGAGGAAGACTCAAGTTGGGTTCTGAGCTATCGAGTATGTTTAGCAGCTTTTCACCACCGTCAAAAGTTAAGAAGCAGATTTAATAATGCAACTGATTTCGGTTGAAATAAGATTCGATTCCTTTAAAATCAACTAAAGCTAATTGTCGAGTTAAAAGTGACTTCTACAAATGGACAAAATTTCAAAATTGTATTCCAATGAGCACATTTGGCCTTTTTTCAAAAACGTATCGACCTTTAAGTATAATAGATTATTTATATGTCCAAAGAGCCGAAAAGTCAGTTGTTCATGCTTCAGATAAATGTATCTGCTAGATCATGATTATGTAAATACGCTTATTGTTTCATGCACCGCATCTGTCAGATAGTTTTAACGGTGACAGAAATGACCCACTATAAATTTCGTAAAAGCGTAGGTATTTTCTATCTTCATGGCGTAGCTATACCTATACTCTTCATCTGCAGTTTTTGAAACATCCTGCACCATCATCCTAAAACTACAAAAATTCCCTTTTTTTAGAATCTGTGTCAAATTAACTAGCGTATCACATATGTATAACATATTTTATATTAGCACTCTTGAAAAATAGATACGTTGTTCTGAACCGGTAGGATCTGGATTATTACTGATCTCAGACTAGATCCCGTCTAGTCTTTTTACGTATTAACAATTCAACATTTCAACTCTCTCATAAATTTCTTGAGGAAGAAGGACTGACCATAAATGCTTGATAGTATAATTTATTAAAAAAACTGGTAGATTGTGGAATATCCGCTATTGTGATTGTGTAGATAACACTTATTAACTTCCTCCTTTAATAGAAAATACAGCGCTTGCAAATATGCTGACATAACAAACGGACACTAATTGTATACCTACTTAAACAAACCTTGGAATTAATTCCTGTAAACAAACGTATATTTTTATTATTATTTAATATATAATGGCAGAGAAAGCAATTCCTATTTGATTTACCGGAATAAAAATGACAAAGATTAATACAATGCGTTCGCTTATATTCTGCTAATTTGCTATAGTTTACATAAGGTGCAAGAATCTGAAATTCACGCTATTTCAGCAATTCAGACACTGTCATCCCTACTATTTTATCATCGTGTACATTGAAAAAGTTTACAAAACGTCCCCCTCTTTAAACATCCCGTATATAAAACTAAACCTCCCGCTTTCTCCCATAACCAATTGCTATATTTATAGGAAGTGATACCTTTAAAAATTTTAGTTACACAAATACGCAATGTTACGAAATTTTATTTTTGTTTTCGTGGCCAGTTTTATTAGTACAAGTGCTGTGGAAGAAGTATCAAAAACGCGTAAGTCTGCATGATTTATGGGGTGCCAAATATCTTGTGTTGCCTAGTGAGGGATGCAACCCCTTGAAAATTGTCGTGATTATGAAACGTGCGTGTATATTTTCACAATCGGCAAATATTATAAATACCGAGTACCAATTTCTTACATAACTGACCCGGTTAAATTACATCATTTCCGCGGATTTGCATCTTTACCGGGTCTCCCTTCCGTCTGTACGTTCTACTTTTTCACTTAGCCTCTGTTAGGATTATGAGATCTTACCTTTTTTAGAGAAAGCAAGAGATAATTCAACCTTCAAACTTTCACTATCATTGCCGTCTGACATTATTTAATAATCCATAACGTGCGTTTCTGTTATTATTCAATTATAAAGGTTATAACCTAATTATTAACGTTATGGAGATTTTTTTTAAAAGGTTCTTTTTGTGTAATTCATACACAAGGGTAGTTTCTTGAAAATTACGTAAACAAAGAGAATTTCCCTGATGAATCATTGCTTCTCTGCGACACCGGTTCGAATAAAATACCATAGGTGCTGATTTAGAAATACTTTACGTATTAGGTACTTCTCAAATAAATGTGTGGCACTAGGGCATTCAACAACTTACCTTATAAAAAGTAGACTTGTTTAATTTTAATAGACAACTCTTATATAACCAACTAGAATAATTTTCCATTTTTTAAATAGTTGACTAGCTTCTGATTCAGTCAAAACAATAGACATTTTCGCACTATTAATTCAATGGAACAATTATAATTAGATCTACCTTTCTGAGGGAGTGTTTTAATCCCCAGGGAATATGTAATTGAAAAATAGAACCTCAAAACATTTTTTAAAAAAATTTGGTAGAAACGACGAGATTGTCGAACATTAATTTTTGCTGAAGATTCGGGACTAGTAAATTGATGAAAGATTATTCTTATCGTTTATTAATTATGCGCATTACTATATCTATAATTGTATCAATTGTACTTCGTAAGCTGAAGAGACATTTCTCTCAGGACTTACAAAAGCTGTGTGATTTTGAAACTGTACGTAAATTTCAGAATTGGGAATTGTCAGTGTGGAAGGTTTCAGATCCTGAATAAAAATTTTAAACGTCTTAACAGTTTCAAGGTCCAAGACAAGAATTTGTATATTTTAGGTCAAGATTGTTCCAAAATAAATAAATAGGGATCTCGGAAACTCGCGGAAAACACAGATAATTCTATGGGGAACAAAATGATGAGATTTATGAGCCGCGAATATAACACGGTCACCGTGTTTTTGGAATAATTAACAGCTAACCCACATATCGCGTCAAATTTTTGATGTTTTGTCTATAGACATGATTTAGAACAATTGGTGAAGTCATAGTTGTAATACAGATAAATAATGTAGGGGCGAACTCAGCCCACCCTCTCTTTAAGGGTTTTAGGCCTATCTTCCCTCTTATAGCTAGCAAAGCTGCAGTCCAGGGAACCCGTATACCAAACCATCAGCGGGTCTTAACTATTCTATAGGAAGCGGTATTAATCTCTCGTGATACCCTTATAGCTGTTGTGGGGGGTTTAAACCGTAAAATGAATGCATAATTTCCCCGACAAGTGGCGGTAGGCTTGTTTAACTTTTAATATTAAATTTTAAATATACATATAAAATATCTCCGTTAAAACGAGTAATTAAAACAAAATATGCATAAATAAAATTTAATAATGTTAAGTTGGTTAGAATTTTCCACAATAAAACGCAGTTGACGGTACACTATCGTACAGGGTGGTTCAATTTCGATGGGATTAAATGGGTAATTTTCTTATTAGCGCACTTAAACGAAAATGGCTTAGGTAGTCGTGACCTCTTTTTGCATACTTATTCAATTACCATTGCCAGAAATAAACCACCGTCTTTTGTTTTTTCCCTACAAAGGAAAACTGTTTAACGTAGAAATCAATGTCGTCAGTCATTTGTTTCTGGCCCTTTTAGTAACTGATGCACTGTAACTCAAAGTTGATTTTTTTTAAATGGAAATCATAGTTGGCCATGGTTTTTGATAATTGCTTGTTTTACGAGATTTTCGAAAAAACATAAAATGTACTTATTTTCAATAATAAGTTCTCTAGAATAAATTTTGCTTATTGATACATCCTATCTGAAAATAAATAACAAAAATTGTAGTCGCTTATGAAACACTTGAAAGATAAGCTTGAAAAGTGACCTCAATTTTGGAAAATGCACATGTTGCACCTCTTTCTCAAAGATCATGTTGCATTTAGGATTTCTATTGGTTGAACTGCTTCAAACGATCTTGTTACATTTAATTCCTACCTCAGTTATAGTCTTGTAGAAGGATATTTATAAATTTTATTTAAAAAACCACAAAAAGAAATCCAATGGTCCCTGCGTCCCCATCCAATTATTAGATACGAGATCATTTCAATTTTTAAATAATTTCGAACGATTAATGCATTATGAGCCGTCTTGCTGAAAAATAACCGTTCGTCTCTCTTCGAAAATAATATTATCGACTAAATCTGGCAGATTGTGCTCTAATGTTTGGGTCAGATGTAAGTGCGCCTCTAAAAATATAATATTTTCTCGTTTCAGGCAACCCCACACATTAAACCAAAATTTTCCTTGGGCTCGTATAGATATAGGTAGATGGGATGGGGGTTTTCATTTGCCCATTAACGGTTATTTTGTCTATTAAAAAATCCAGCACTTGATATGTATGCTTCATCACCAAGTAATGTTACCGCTAAAATTTTGGACCTCATCTTCCTTCCTAATAATAATAATGATAGTAATGTATAGAAAATGCAGAAAATGCTATAAGCGTATCGAACGTTAGGGGTTGTTGTACCGATCTCAGACTAAACTGGGAGCTTTGGTTCGCTCAGGAAGGACCTTAAATTAAAAGATAATAATCTTTTGATCTGAAAGGGCTTATACTACATAATATCCCACTTAGGTACTTGTCGTCAAACCGATGAGTATAACACCTAGGCAAAACGTCAATCCCCAAGCAAAAGCTCCACGAGAGCAATAGCGTTCAAGCATTGAATAATAAATATTCAATGGTTCAAGTGAAAATAGCAAACATTTGCCAATGTAAGTGGACAGTCAGCCATTTATTAATAATGTTGCACAATTTCATCGCAAACCCACATTTTAAAGATATTTAGTTATTAGTTACGTAATGTTGCTAATAACTACAACTTCTTCGTTGATAATTGAAATTCTTGTATTCTTTGTTACACGCAAGAGTAAATAACGCGAAAAATAATTGTGAGGCAGGATTATATATGAAATGGAAGCTTTATGCAATTACGTATTTCAGTGTTACTGGTATAAATCCACGTGTTATTTGCATACCATAACGCAATTACTGTGCGTAATTTTATTACCGTGCCCACTTCGCTTCTAGAACTTGAGATGTTGATTTTGTCAATACTTTCACATTATGTTAGTACGTACGTTTGCTTGTTTTGAAATAGTTCATTCACTCTAAACAATAATTATTGTTGATAATTCGAGATGGCATTACGATTTTTATCTAACCATGTAATCTCTCACGCTAAAATTGTCCGCTTCCCATGATGCATGCTTTATTACTGTGACAAAACACCAATATTTCTAATGGCATCCGTAATTAAAAGCTAACGAAAAGAACAGTTGACAAGATTAACATCGGGAAAGTAACGTGAAACTTTTAACAATCTATTGCGGTGTGTCAGAAAAATGGATTTTTATTTCTCTAAACTTCAACCATTCCTATGCAATGCATTATGTAACATGGTATATAGATACTGTACCCACTATTCTAAATTAGATAATTATATCAATTGATCGCATGCTTAGTAAGTGTAAGTTCTGCCATCGACTATCGTCCATCAAATGGACCAATGCACACCACAGCGTAAAAATATGAAGTGTAGTTGGAAAAAAATACATATTGTACAGGTTAAAAAATACATTTCCCCAAGATTATAACTGCCTCCCCTCTTCTCTTTCCCCAATTCAATTAAATGCATTTTTTCCACGTTGATATAAACCATTTTCACCTAAATTTGATTATTAAAATCCTTAAATTCGATAAATAATATAAGTATACGAAAACTGACATCTTTTCAAGTTGCAGCGGTACACCCCCAACTGCGCATTGTAAAGTTGCGGGTATTCAGCTGATCAAAATCGTTTGGGGCCCTACGAATTTCCGTCAAAATCAAATCAAGTTAAGGTATAATGTTTCTAATGTGTTTCTGATAAATAATTTCAACATCACAAAAATTAGCCGTCTATATCTTCCCTTTATGCTCTAACTAAACTAAAACTAAGGTGAAATTTACGCTTTTTCAGATTTTCCGCTCCGACGAGCTAAACAGCTTCAATGCATGTATTAACGATAATGCCAGAAAACGCTCTTATCAGCGATTGTGTTATAGCCCCATTGAGTTTATTTTATTTGTCTGGCATGAAACTGAAATCACCTAAGGATTTTCACGTTCGTTTCAGGCATAGTAAAGATGTTTCGTTTCTGAGCGACGTTAGGACCAAACCCCCGCGAAAATTACCCCGGTAAAAAAACCTATCCATTAACCTCCTCCCCACTTGAAACCGCGGGTGACAATAACTCCCGGATAGATAACCCCTGGACAGTAACCCCCCGGACTTGAATAATATCCCCCAAACAATTTGGTACCTATGCAAACCAGAAAGAAAAATAACCTAAATCTTCAAATATCCTAGTGTCCAACACTGCAAGGGGTCACGATCTTTTTGAATTCTTTAAGAATTGTTGTATGAGTTTGCTTTAGAAAATGATCCATGTGGGTATGTAAATCATCAAACTATAGAAAATGCCGGAAAATGCTATAAACCAAAATTCAAACATGAAGCCTTGTTAGTTTTAGTGATGATTTTGGGCCAAAGAGACTCAAACGTGTTAAAGGTGCTTTTTAAATAATGGTTCGTGATCATTTTGGTAGAATGGTTGAAAACGAATTTGGCTGGGGTAACTTTTTTCGGAAAAGAGACTATTAGTGTGGAAATGAGAATTTGGTAAATCGTTGACGATAATTTTTGTACCTAATTTGTTTATATATTACGTGTCTATGGAATTTAATATCGAATATTCGAACAATTTGCAATATTTTGTTCTTTACCAGGCGAAGAGATGCAGTGGAAATTGTTAAAAAACAAAGTTTGATTGGCAAGGTCCAATGCGATCAAAAATGAGTTGGTGTCGAGTCACCTTTGGAATTTTTGTTTACATGGAAATCGTACTTAACTTGATCTTCCAAAGGCGACTCGACAGCTATACTCATTTTTGATCTCTCGTCACTTTATTGGAACTTTGTTTAGATGGGAAGTTGTACTTAACTTGGAACATCCAAAGGCGACTAGACCGCCACTCATCTTAGATCGCCCGTTAGTTACTATGGAGATTAAAATGTTCTTCGTATTGAGAGGTAGGTAGAAATGTTGCACAAATTTCTACAAAATCGAAACACCATATTCAATACCGTGTGGTATGGTTATGCATAAAAAATAACAAACAAAGGTAACTTTTGGACCTTTTGAAGATGTAGACTTGAAATGAAATATTTTGGATCCCTCGTTAATTTGGAAAAAATAATTATTGAATATGAGTATGGTTGTTACATTACATGGTGTTCTTTGTATACGAATTTTTCGATTAAGAACTGATCTTCGGGTAGGGTTTAATTGAGGTTTGCTGTCGTCTATAAACATTGAAAAATATGGAATTATTGCCTTTGCCTATAATATGACATAATTATAATTAACTTCTAAGGATTGCAAATTCGATAAGTAGCAAACATAAAGGTTAACGTTAATGGCACATTAACATCACGAAATAATATTACAATGTAGCAATACATTATATAACCGCAGCTTCTTCTTCGTTGTGATCGTATCTATTTCACCGATGAAGTTTATTTTGCTGAGCTGAGTTCCATATTTTATTATTTTCCAACTTAAGACGAAACGGCTATTTAGCTTATTATTCGGTATTTATCCGGTATTATTTGTCCTAAAATTCACCTTCAAAATCGGTAATTTGCCACTCGCGCTACTTTGACCACACGACTATAGAATTACTAACACAAAAATGCGACTGTTTTTGTATTTTTAATACCTTTAAAGGTGCTCAAAACCACATGAAAAATATGAATATAGGACTCAATTGGAACCAGGAGAGTAACTTCATTTTGAAGCAAAATGTACTGTCCAAGTCCAGCATTTCACGAATCTATGGTATTTATACATGTTTTCAGCAGAGTTTAGGTTTTGCCACAAATAGATTTATGGAAAGGTACTGTTGCAAATTGCAATGTGATCAATTCATTTTAAATTAATATAATATTGTAGCCACGGATCTGTACCCCTGCATCATTGATTTGTGAATCAATTTCGGACATACACAAACATACGCTAAAACACTGTAACATTTATCAAGTGTGCGATATCGATGAAAAACTTGTCTGAAATTGATTCACAAATTTTTATTTATTTATTTATTTTTTATTTATTTACCTGTATGTTTGAGTGGGCGGGGTTTCAGCCAAGGCTGTTGTACCAACCCAACAATTTAATGACGCAGGGGCACAGCTGATCCGTGGCTACAATTATAACGAGCGATTAAAAATGAGTTGCTATCGAGTGGCCTTTGGAAGTTCATGTTAAGTACGATTGTAAACAAAAATTCCAAAGCTGACTCGACAGCAACTTATTTTTGACCGCATAGTGCATACCCTGCTTGTTACAATCGTCTTTTTTTTATATATTCATGGCTAATTCGACGAGTATTTTGCTTCTTTGGGAAATGATCATAACTTCAAAAATCAGAATTGTGTTTATCGTTCCATAAAACACTTCTGAGGAGTAATCAAGTTCATAAAACTGTATGGATCTTAACACAAAAACAGAACACTGTTCATGTTAAAACTAAAACACTGTTTAACCACGATCAACTTGATACAAGTGACAAGTTGAAATAAAACAAAGGCCAAACAGACACAGATTTCCATAAATTTCTTACGGAAGCACCCGATGACACGTACTTGGTGAGTCATTAACTAACAAGATTGAAACCGCTCAGAAGATTTTATGTGGAACTCCAGGGAACCCTTCATCATCTTCGTTGCCATCAACAAAACCTGCTATTTCATACCGTACTAATTCAAATCCTCTATCGACTGCTGAGTGTGAAGAATCTGTAAACACCGTGTTTTCCAATTGCCTGTCTAATTCCCGAACTAATTTTTGTAACTTGCAAATTGTACATTTAACTTCCACATTAATAAACAATAATTTGATTTTTGACACATATCCTACGTGTCGCATGTTACTGTAACTGTCACTTGGTTGCTAAGCACGTTGCTATGATACACTTACCGCCCTAGGTTGGTAAGTGCACCTTACCGCCTTGAAAATGAATTAGTAAGTAGCCGACAATAACCGATCGTGCAAAAAAATAAGTTTCAACATTTCTGTTATTAGTAGCAATAGCCATGACTTTTGTTTTATGAATTGCCATAATAACAGAAATGTTGAAATTTATTTTTAAATTTTCGGGTATATCAAAAACTTAATAAAACATTTCAAAACAGTTTTGTATGCACCTTTTAATTCTGAACAACTTTAAACTCTACAGTTTTTTCTGTAAAATGTACAGGAGGGCAGAATATTGCATAAAACTAATTTCCCATGTTAAATCCCTATGTTCCTACTTACCGTGCACCACCCGGTATGTTTGACTTGTAGGATTACGAATTCTGCGACCTAAGTTGGTACCATGTTGGTACGTCTAATTAATAGCATCTACAAAAAACTAAAATTCAACTAAAAATAGAAATTAACTACCTAGTGTTTCTGTATAACTATGTATACCACGTGTTTAGTCTATCAACACTTACAAAAATGGATATTAGGTATATCAAACTTTTAATATAAAAGGCGTGATTGCGATGAAATAACATCCACATTTATCAAAAAACTCACTGAAATCTGGATAAACTTTCCGATCGAATTGACAGCACACAAATTAATTTTTTGACGGATATATGCCGATCGATGTAGCTGATAAAACAATTGCCGCCGCACCGTCAAACGCGCGATGTTTAAATAGTCGTTAAGTTTTCTCCAATTTTCCAATTTTCTGCGCGAATTCCTTAGTTTTTCTTGCCGTAAGAACCTTCTACACAGTGTTAGAAAACTTAAAAAAAAAGATTAATGAAATCGGTAAAGTCGTTCTAAAGTTATTGCGTGACCAGAAAAAACATTTTTATATATAGAGATTCTCATAAAATGACAAAAAATTTAAGGCTATAATTAGACATAGGTATCTCATTCCCCTCAGGGACATTATGTATTGCTCCATCAGAAATTCGAGATTAAGACGACTTGTGCCTCTTTTCCCCAAAAACATTTTCCTAAGTGAGTTATGCCGTCTTACACTATCAAAATTTGTAAGGCTTGTAATATAGGTAGACTAAATACTCCTTTTACCTAACACTAGTTATGATGATATTGATCAGTCTACTGTTCTTAACTCATTTTTCAGATTTTGTCACTTATATCCCTTTTCCCGAACAGGCGCCAGTTAATCTTTACTTTTTTTATGTAAGTGCTAAGGGTCCTAAACATTTTGGGGAAGAATGTAGAACCGGGGGGTCTGAGGGTATGGAATACCCCCCATTATATTATATTAACTGGATCGGCGAACATGGTTCATACTGCGGTTGTGGGTTGTGCGTTGTGGTACCGATCGTGTGTCCCATATACAGAAAACGAGATTTCGCAAAGGCGGTACGAAGTTCGGGGGAGTCTGCTAGTTTTTTAATAAATTTGTAAGATTTCATAGATTCCCGCATAGAATGCTAGTCCTTTTTTATTTAATTTGTTTTCCATTTTCTAATTTTGGTGTTGCAAGAGTTTGCTGTGTGTAGGATTTTTATTTTCCTTAACTGTTAAGGGTTACCCACACTTCGTTGCCCATCCCTAGCCGCGTGGAGGTCCGTAAGGTTTCTTTCTTAAATAATTTAGATTTATGGATTTTTTCACAAAAATTGTGGAAAAGTGATCGTATTTGTTTATTTAAAAATTGACTTTTTTAATGCTCATGTTACAATTGATTTTGATTCTAGAAGTATACAAATTCTTTTTGTTCGTGTTTACAATTTTCACAAGGATATACTTGATTCCTCTCTTGTAGATAATTTCGAGACCGCACTGGCTGGCTTTACAAATCTCTTGAAGCTTGCTAATGAAAGAGGATTGGAAATTAATACATACCGAAAAATGTGAACTTTTCTTTTGTAGCCCAGGTGCCCAGGTATCCATGTAGTAGCTTGTCATGATCAGGAAATTCTTAGTTCTCCAATTACAATTAATCAACATACCCAGTTAAGCCAATCTTTACGGCCCTATGCCACATTCACAACTTTTAACTTCTAATTCATTAAATTAGAAATATTTCTAAATTAAAACTATACGTCCTTAATACGTCAAAGATCGAGTATTTAGCAATATAAAACTTAAAAAGAGGCCTTGAAACCAATTGCAAAAGGTTTAAACTACGGCACCCTAAAATTTCAAAATTTAATCAGGGAGCTGAAAGAAAATAAAAGTTCGTAGTAGGGTTTTAAATGTTACTGATTTTGAGAAATCTCCATGTCCCTGACGAGTTTCGACATCTAACACTAATCACAACGTCCAATATGGCTCAGATTGGTCTTATATTCGAATGTATTTGGTAGATACATTTTGTAAATCGATTCTTTTTTACAGCCGAATATATCCTGCCTTGCCGGAAATCTGATCCTGACATCAACACATGCCTCATCAAAACATTCAATCATCTAAGACCGTACTTGGTCTCCGGACTAAACGACATTGACGTTCCAACCATCGATCCACTATTCATCTCGAAGATAAACATCGAAAATGGAAATGGCCCGTTTCGTGTGCGCGCTTTCTTCAATAACGTAACCACCAGAGGTGCCAGTAACTACACGATACACAACATCAAGTAACTGTCCTATTTTTGAAAATCAGCCCATAATTTGCGTTTCAGGGCCGATTTAGACAAATACATTTTGGATCTCGCCTTTAAAATTCCGCACGTCGATATAAAAGGAAAGTACGAAATCGGCGGAAGCGTTCTGCTGTTCCCGATACGATCGAAGGGAGACTTCTGGGCCGTTTTTAGTAAAAATCGGACACGCGTTTGTAAATTTAACGTGAAATTTTTGTATTTCAGCGGATGTTGATGCAACTGCCAAAATATACGGAAAGGAAGTCACTAAGGAGAACGTTAGGTATATGCACATCGATAAGTTGCTCGTTGATTTTCAAATTGGTAAAAGTAAATTCAAAATCAAAGATGTAATAAATCTTGGGAACATTATCGGTAAGAAACGCGCCTTATCTTAACAAACTGTAAGTCGCGCTCACAGGGGAGGCTATCAACCAATTTTTGAATAACAACTCCGATGAGATTATTACCGAGATGAAACCTGCTGCCAGTATTAGTATAGCGAGGCATTTTAAAACGTTCCTAAACGGCGCTTTTACGAAAATACCGTTAAAGGTTTGGTTGCCCGATGCGTAGGTAAAGTTAGAGTACAATGGGTAGTTTGCATAAAATTTTTTCTACCTCCATTTCGCAACTTTTTGTAAATATTGAAACACGTAGGTACCCAAGTGTGCAATCTTTTTTATGCAAATATTGAATACCGAAGAACTGATAGTTTGCTTAGTTGTGTAGCGAGTATGTTTAATTTTGTTAGTTTATTTTTTAATGTATTTCCATATTTTTATACGACAAATACATACGTTTGAAACAGAATTAATTATTAGCTATTGTTGGGCAACAAGTAGGTACTCAACGATTCCAGGTGAGTAGCTTCATTAATACACTTAGTTTGCACTATCATGTTACTATAGCGTGTTTATTTTTAGTGCCAAATCTAAGAAGAATTTATGAAGACATGAATTACCTATGGTTCGACGCGATTGTACCCCATTATATGTAAAATAAATGTTTTCTCGCTACAGAAAAACTCATTTTATTTCCCATTGCGCCTAAAAATGTTTCTTTACAACAATCTTACCAATAAAGCCGACTCACAAACCAAAGTACTTCATTTTGTACCTTTACTTACAGGATTCTTTTTTTGAAAACATTGTCTTCCTTGCATGGAGTTCAAAGAACGATTAGCTATAGAAGATTTGCTATCATCCATGTTATCTTCGAACCTCTTGTGTCTTTCGAATGAGTTAATTTTATCATCACTTTAACAATTTTCTCGGCTATTCTTGGTGCGATTCATTAATCATTCCCTACTCTGTACTGCCTAGAACCGTTAGTACTCATCTATAGGTTACTGTATTGCGTTTTCTGTCCTTGTTGCTTCGGTTGAAAGACCGAAACGATAAGATATTGTTTCCTAATTAATCAGTACTGTTTTTGCTAACTTTCATAGAAACCATCCAAAAAAGTGATATCGTTGCAGCAATTAAATTTATTCCTTAACTAAGGTTTGTGGACATGCAGGTTCTGTGCATTTCACTTTAAAACCTAAATTTTAGCAACACATCCACAGTGGAAGAGCGTTTCTTCTTTGACAGTTAAAAAAAAGTTAATAAGATATGATCGAAGAGCGATTTCTTCAATATGAATTATATTTGCTTATTTTCCGACTGCGACCTCCTCGGATACGAATCGTCTCATGCGGTGGAAAATGGAATATTAAAAAACTTATTTGAACCACGGTTCCATCAAAGTGGGCAAAGTTATTTAGAACATTTAATACTTTTGGGACAATCTGCAAAGATAAAATATAAAATGCGGGTCCTCAAGCATTGTTTTGGGAGGTACCTGAAGAGTACACAAAACGGAATTAAAGACAGCATTCGTTGTTTGGAAATATGCAAGAAAAACACACAGTAAAATGAAATCAAAGGTAAATGATTTTAAATTGAAAATTAACGCAGTTCAGACAAATTGATCTCATAACTCGTAGGTAACGCCTATGGAGATATGTGCTAAAGTATTTGTTTCTATGGAAGTCAAAAAGGAAATTGTTGCCAAACTGACATATGTATGAATGGAAGTATAAAAACTTGTGCTGTCATTGTCACGTTTGTGAATAAGTTTGGCAAGCATGTACCTACTGTATGTCCACAAGCACCATACTAGATCTGGAGGTGCGCACGCGTTATAGCGCATTCAAACACTATGGAGCATCTGATTTTTGATTTTTTTATAGAAAAAGGTAAGCGGATGCTCTCACATACTTAGGTCTGATATTCGAGTCAATTTTATTGTCGCTCTTGTAACTAAACCTCTCGCCAGAAAGATTGCCGGTCACAGAACACTCGATCCCGGTCTACAATCTATGTTTTTCTTAAGATGTGAGAGACTTCCGGGATTGTATCGTGTCCAGGGTGTGGTTGAACGAAAAGGGGGTCACTCAGCTCGCTTTCGGAAACACGATTTTTAATCCGTCTCATATTCAATAGCACCAATCCTTGAACTGGAATAAATCGATTGGGGAAGGTTTGACATCGCTGTCTCTTTTAGTTCTTGAGTTAGACGAGGAACAGAAGGACGGAAAATGAATGGATATAATTTCATTTTCACAAATGACGAAGGTGATAATTGAGTCACCCAAATTTAAAATCCAAAATTAACTTATATTTTATAAACGATTTTCGGTTTTACCATTCATTCTCAACACCCTCGATTTCTCCAGAAGTACTTTGTAATTAGATTCAATTGTTCGTCACACGATCGGCTAAGATCAACTGTCTAACTATAATAACAGATTTACAACCCTTGAAAGTGTGAATGTGCCATATGAAGTTGCCATAAGGGCCTTGCAATTCCCGATTAAGTTTTTAACACATGTGTATAATGAGAAAGACAAGAATTCATAACACACTTTGAAATGGTTTCGGGGACTGTTTTAAAATGGATTTTTTTTTAATTTCAAATATTACTAAATTTGGAGATTACGTATAGGTACATTCAAAACTTGTATGTATCTAATAATTATGTAATATGAATTTGCGCGAACCGATGACACATAATGCTCGAGTTGTCGCACGTCGGAGATCACATTTGGCAGTTTACTATCAACCTTGTATTGGTTCGCATCGTTCGAATTTGTTTTAAAATCTAGGTAAGCTGAATTAATTTAACTGTTTTATTGCTATAATTTTGGGTAAGATTGGAACAGCGACCCAAACGCGTTAATGTTGATTCATGGAAAATGCTGTCTACCCTAATGTAGGGTAATCTGTGACTGAACTCATTTTTTACATAGATCAAATGTATTTTGCTGAGGCAGGTCTAACACTCTAACGTATGAAAGCAAGTAATTACCCAAACTTGGACTTATCATCAGCAGATACATGAATTTTCATAATTCCGTGGTCGATCATCAACTCACATTTCTCTGAAAAAGAGTCTTTTCGAGTAAACGTATTTCGTGACTGTATCAATTATCGTGTAACTGTCTTTTAATCGCTCTGTGGAATATACACCAATAACCTGTGCCTTCTGTGTTTTTGGGTCTATATGCAAAAATTGACGGCACCATACTAATTCATATTGAGGTACTAGGGGGTTAATTTTCCATATAGAATACCGCCTTCCTAGAAAACCTTGATTACGACTATGGTCCGCATTGCGTTCTTACATGCAATTGATTCAGCATCAGTGATAGAATTGTGGAGATGTAATGGCCAAACGTCTATGAAAGCAAACGATGCAGTGCAACTTTAGATTCTGATAAAAAATATGTTCGATCTAATTCATTGATTGTTTAATCCACCTTCGAACGGCTTCAGTCACGCTTTGGGTTTTTGTCTATGACACCCTTTCTATCTATGAGCACTATCAGAGTGGTCTATTTGCGAACCGCTGAGTTCCTAGTCTGCCCAACAAGATAGTGTAAGCCCAAGTAGAATCCTGATACATCTGTCATATAGGCTTTCAAGAATCTTTGGTGTGGAGTACTGAGTAGATGCCTTCACCTTGTTTAGGAATAAAACAGGCTTGTATTTCTCTCCTGCCACAGAATTAGGTGACATTTTTGCTCACCTAAGAATTATGAACTTTTAAAATTTTATTGAAAAATCAATTGATGTGTCTGCATGGATCAAATTTGCATCATATTTTTAACTACAATGACTGAATTTATCGGGAAAGGGTTGTTTGATTCTTTGGAAGTGGTATTGTGAGAATATTCCTACAAATTAATTTCGTGTTGGTAGCTATATTTTTATGAACAAATTCCAATATTTCTTATTCTTATTGAAGTTTTAGTAGGCGTGAGGTAGAAAGACACGTGGCCACGGTATAGGATTTGCATTTCCAGTACTTTCATTTTAACTTACAATTTGTATTTATTATCTGTAGTCAAACCAGAGGTACAAACTTTGCTAAAATATGGGAACTATTATTGATTTTGGACTTAGTCGTCGGTTAAATAATTTGTTATTACAGTAGAAAATCGTTTTTATTTGGTATAAACAAGGATGTTCAACCCTTATATTGTTACAAAGTTGACATCGGTGATTCTTTCCATTCTTGAATTAGACGAGGAACGTTCGAACTGATAGGGAAACAATCACATTAGGAAAATTTCTTTCGAAAAATTACCCAAAAATTACTGGATATAATTTAACACCTCAAGTCACATTGAGTTAGGTACCTAGTAAAAAGTTGAAATCCAGGATTAACATATTTTATACACGATTTTTAATTTAAAGTAGTTTTCGCAATAGATTTGCAACCATTCTTTCCCGACACCCTCTATCGCTCTTATTCTGCAGAAGTACTCCCCTTTTGTAATTTATATCATTAACTTTTTATAGTTGGTCACACGATCGAGTGAGGGCAGCTTTCTAACTATAATAACAAATTTACAACCCTTGAAAGTGTGATGTTGCTCTAAGGACCTATGCCAATTCTCGATTAAATGTAAAAACGCACACTTAGAAATGGTTTCGAGCACTGTTTTATAATGGATTTTTATTTTGACTTTCAAGTATTACTAAATTTGAGAGTTACATATGGTTTAATTCGAGGTTTAATTATTTCGTAAAGTCAAATATACATTCAAAACTTTATGTAATATGAACTTGCGCGCACCGATGACACGTAATGCTCGAGTTTTCGGACGTCGCTCGGAGATGACAGTTTGTTATCAACCTTGTACCGGTCCACACCGTTCGATTTTGTTTTAAAATCTAGGTAAGCTGTTATATTGCTATAATTTTGGGAAAGATTTGAACAGCGACCCAAGCACCTTAATGTTGAATCATTCATGGATGATGCTGTCTACCCTAGTGTAGGGTAATTGTGACTGAACTGATTTTTGACATGTCAAAATCAACTAATACATGCATATAGGGTCTGTTTTTTAGATGATAGGTGTACTTATCTCATTTATAGTGAATAATTTTGTTTATTTAAACTAACTGTCAGAAAGGGTATTAAAAATTCGACCTTTCATTTTGGGGCGTAAAACGTCTCAATTTCTTACTTTTTGACCTGTATCTAGTAAACATTATCTACTGTATGTTTCATAATGCGAAGGTTACCATTTCAAATGTAATATGTCTCATTACGAATACGAGCATGACATTCCAAATAAAGGTTTCCAATGCTGTTTGTTACATATTCCAGTGCAATGTTATTTTGAAACAAATGGTAACCTGTTATTCGTGTTTAGCGGACATTTGCTTTGACTATGTCCTGGACAAAACTAAAGCGCTTCGTATGTGTTTCATTATTCTATTTTTCCGTCTTATTTGCTTATTGCCTCATCTGCTTTGCTGAAAGGATCGGTAAAAGTATGTTAAACGTTGCGTCATAAAAATAGTATTTTTATTGTCGCGGGTTCCTTAGAAATACAAATAATTAAAGTAATAAAAATTTTAACAGACTAAACAGTTTGAACGTACTCTTAGACTTTACAGACTAACAAAACACTCATAAAAACATCGTTAAATTATAAAACACACACACTCACTTATGTACATAATAACTGATACAGAATTCTAAACGTGGCGCATGGACCCATCTGCAATTTTAACATTTTTAGTCAACTTAGTGTTAGTATTACAATTTACGTACCTCCATTTCGAAAGTCCAACGTTCCATAGCTATGGCTGATGGGCCCCACAGCCAATGGGGCGCTATCCCTTTTATTCCACGTTTGACTTTTATAGCTGTTATAAGAAATCAGGATATTCATACAACTCGGCCGCCTCTCTATCGAGATACTGCTCCCTCGAGCACTAAAAGAGACCAGATCAGAACAGTCACATCAGGCCAGCCAAAGCTTACGAACCTTTTAATGCTCTCGTTAAGACTGTTATTCGTGGTACGCGCAAAGGCGCTCGGGTTTATCTCCCCGTTACCGACCTTGTCATCCTTCATTTCGTTGTACGGGCTCGATCGTGCAAGCATTAGGAATAGGGCAATTATGAATCCTACCAGTAGATGCGTCGCACAGACGAACATTGACGAATTGCGAAAACCAATATAGTCGTACAGTATGCCGCTTATCGATGGCCCGATAAAGGCGCCCAATGCAAATGCGCTAGTCCAAAGGCCGGAGATTAGACCAAACGTTTCCAAGTTGTTGGGAAATCCCTGTTCACTAGAAAATAACGGAAATATTACCAAGAGCTAAATCGCTTAATGGTATACTTACACGCTGGTTCTAAGGGCGTCGGTAAAGGAGGCGACAAGTTGGGCTGACATTCCCAAACCGTGAAGTACTAGGCCCGTTATAGTAAGCCATAGCACCCTGCAATTTAAAAAACGTTTCAATTAATTCGGTCCTGTAAGTGTTTTTCAGTAGCCATGTTTGAGTCAGAAAAAGGTCTCATTGGTAGAAAATGGTCTGCCACTTTTGAAAACGCAAAGAAAATGGGCATGGATAATTGGTAGGTACCCAAATGAATGACAAACGAAATAAAATTATAAGCAGAATTTCACGTCTAAGGATTCTAAATCTATTCTTGCCTGTAAAGGTGGCAAAAAGTGAAGGTATACAAATAAGGACACACGATTTTTGACAATTACTTACGTTTTTATTGGGAAGAACGGGGCTGGTCCAATTAAACTAAACCCTACAGCGACAAGAATCGTTCCCAAAACAAGAATGGCCTTCGGTTTCACCCTTTTATCGCAAATCCAACCGAAACCTGGAGCTGTGATGGCGTATACGCCTCCATTTACAACAAACATTACCCCCAAAATAACTGGCGACAAGGAAAATTGTCGTAGATGCGGTTCCAGCGTGGCTTGTAGAAAGCCAATAGACATGCTAGTCACTATTATGCTGATCGTTGATAGTAATACACCCGGTATTTTTAGCGCCTTTATAATGGATGCTAAAAGTAACCGGTTGGATTGGTCGGAAGCCTGCTGAAAATTACTTACGTCCTTCTTCCCGCTGGTAACTAGGCTCGTTGTGGCTTGGAAGAACAAACGCCGTAAGGATTGCCGCTAAAAACAGCGCGCTGCCCATAATAGCAAAAGGCATCGTGTATCCACCCGCCTGGTATAGAATTCCGCCAACCGTTGGCCCGACTATTAACCCAAATCCAAAAAATGTCTCCAACGAGGCCTACATAAAAAGCGATTACTTTTAAACTTAACCCGGTTACTACCAGATAACAGACTTACGAAGGTTGTGGCTACATTATCTGGAAATTCTTTCGCTATAATAGCAAAGCTGGCGGTTAGAAAGGCTGCGTTTCCCATAGCCTCGACGATACGAATGATAAAGCTAAGGATCACGAAAGGATAGCGTCCGCTGACTTTATCCAGTAAGCTGAAAGTTGCATTTTGCTTAGGTGGGTCTAACGTATATGAAAGCAAGTAATTACCCAAACAGTATGGCGCATATTCCTGTGGTGTAAATACCGCTGTTAAATACTACTTTCGGTCCCCATCTGTTGAGGTACTTGCCGTATATTGGACTTATTAAAAATACAACTAATTCGAATATTCCGAAAACTAACCCATACTCCGTTGCCGTGCACCCTTTCTTCTCCGCCTGAAATTTTTGGTTAAATTTTAGTTAACAGCGTAGTATTAATTACTAATTTATGCTCTTATAAAGCTAATGAACCTTATAATCGAGACATCTAAAATAACGTGACTGATAACGTGGTTTTGATACAGATTATTTACAGAAAAAGTTGGTAGGTCATTGCGACACGTGACTGTATTAGCAGTAAATCCACGACTTGTTAAACTGGGACGTTGTGAAGAAAAAGTCATTGTTTTATGGTAGTCTTGTGATTTTTTTATCATCCCTTATATGGGTCACTTCACTAAGAAAAACAATTGTAATGAGTAAATACAATTTGTTAGTATTATATCATAATATGGCAATTCTCAACAAAACTTGTGGTATTTTGAAAGGGATTTAGTAAATTATGACGACCGTAAACTGCACTAATTAAAGAAACAATACAGTTAGTTTATGTTATCGCTTTCGAAAAAAAACGGGCGACAACATTAATTGAATGAAAAAAAAACATCAAAGGAGAGATTTCATAATCACCATATTTACTATTTAAGCGAAGTTTAATGATTGTAGTAAAACATTTAAAAATACTTCTTTATCATATATTTAAAGAATTATTGCCATGGTAATAGTTTTGCAAAATGCAACTTCATTGTAATCCAATGTGTCCGAATGGAACGGGCCATCAGTTATAGTAGTGGTATAAATATGACAAGCCCTTCATATAACCCCTTAAAAATATATTGAACTAATTATGAAATGATCCAAAGTGACAATGACCTCAATGTTAACATTTCGCGGTTACAAGATTCCAGACTGATAAACCGATTGGCGAGTCACCGTTAAATGGCAAAAATAATACGTACCTCTCCCGGATAAAACGGCGCTTGCAGGGAGACACAGATTGCATTACAAAAGTCTGCGATACTGAATACAATCAGTGTAGCCCACTGACGTTTTGTGAAGTTCGGCATTTTAAATAGTTTAATAAATTAAATTAAATGTTTATACACTAAACTTTCAAAAGTAGGTTTTCCTTATGACATTTTGTAACGAAATGCACAGTTCACATGCTTCTTACGTCTGAATGTTTCGAACTACAGCCAAGAACTATTGGTTCCAAAGATTATTCAGATTGTGCCCCTTTGATTGTTGGCTTTTGTACCATTAGCGCCAAACTCAAACAGTGCTAGATTATTGGTCATCGCAGTTACTTGGAGGGGATAAGTTCAAAGAGTAACACTGTACTTATGATAAAATGTACACTGTCGTATAGCGAAAATTCTGGTGGAAAGATTAAATTCGAAACGTGTGTTGAGACAGGGCAGCTTCGGGTGTAACAATTTTTTGGCTTTTCTAGCTCCTCTCGTCGACATAATATGCGGAAACATTCTTGGGAATTTTAAGTTTTAGACCATTTTTGCAAATATGACAATTGATAGTGTTTAATATTTACGAAAACAAGATAACAGAAAAATGAAATTTGAGCTTGCTTAATAGAAAATTTTAAGTAGTGATAACTTCCTGGTAATTATTACATTACTGTTATTTACTTTTCCTTAACCCAAAATAGAATTTGTGCAATTATAGGGTAATCAAAAATTTTAGGACGGACGAAAATTGTTTACTGCCAGCATGTGTAAAAGATGATAAAGTCATCATGATTGTGTGGCAAATAATGACATACTTTACATTGCTTAGATCAGAGGGCATTTCCTATCGTTAATTTAATTTTAACTTCTCCAATCGATCTATAATTAATGCTCGTGAACTAATCTTAGTTCAAATCCTATTAAGCTAAATAAACAATTGGTTTGTACAAATAATGCGAAAAGCATTTACTAAATTTAGCTCAGCGTGAACGTTGTGTGATACTTTTCCATATTGTCATTATTTCCAGATACGGACATTCTGCAAATAAAGCTGGCATTATAATAATTTATTGGGAGATTGACTGTTTCACTTTTTTTGTTAGTTTTGTACGATTGTTTGGAAACGGAAATAATCGAAAGTATCTTATCAGTTTAATTTAGGTATGTTATCCAGTTTTATTTCTATTCTAACCATCACCAGAACTATGATTTTGAAGATATTACTATAATTTCTGATTTTACATTGGATCAGACCTTTTTCATGCGTCACATTAACGATCGGGACCTTACTGAGTAGATTAAAACCAGGATGGGCGTACGAAACCAGTTTAGGAACTTAAGTTTTCCGAAACAAATATCTTGGTAAATCATCCGTAATTAGGGAACCAATTATTGAACCGTGATTTGTATTCACAAACATGTATAGGTAATGGTTGATTATTTAATGGTTGATTATTTAATGGTTGATTATTTTTCATACAAGTAAATGGAAATCGTACTTATTTTCCAAAGGCGATCCATTATCACTTCCAACTTACTGGACTAAAAGTATGTTACCATTACCTGAATTACAATTGTTTAATCAAAGCGGTTTTGATATACCTACAATCTTACCATTGAAAGCGCGTCGTGTGAGAGCATATAAATGCCTACATTTGGTGGCACTCTCACAGCACTTATTGTAAATCTTCATATAGCATCCTTGGTAAATCATTATGTCTCTTGAATGTGCGGGAAATTTGTTGCATTTAATCAGAACCGTGGCCCGACTTACAGCTTAAACGGCAGTCTTACCTGGGGAATATTTCTCTGCATTTCAAATTGCATTCACCCAAGACCATGTCTCAGAAGAACGTCAGAATGTGTTTTGTATAAGATAATGTAATTAAAGGAAGAATATGGGGAAGGCTTCGTATTTTAATTAAACATTATCTAGTCACCACTAAGCTGGGACGATGTATCCACGAAGGATTATGATAGCTCAAGGTGACTAAAAAAATGTTAACAGTGCAAAATTGTGCGGAACGTTAGTGACATCCTGCAATCACTGTCCAATCAAGTGATAAAGTCGCGACGTAATGTTACGTCGTTGTCCTACAATCTGAGCTTGTTAGTTAAACCTTGACCTGCACCAGATTAGGTTGTTTTCACGACTGACTTTGGAGATAGGTGACAAGTTTTATGGGAATTAAAAATTGCATTAGGAAGGACTACTTCGAAGTATATTTTTTCGTCCTCGATTGTATATCACTTATAATCAGCTTTGGACTGAGAAGACTAATATTCACCATAAACCGATGTAGTGCTAAAAAGAGCAGACTTTATTCTAAACCCATTGGTTAGAGTTACATTCAGATCGTGCTTATTTGTGCAGTATTCAACAGACTAGGATGGAGTTTATCATGCGACATGATAAAAATGGAAATGGTAATTTTAGGTGCAGCTATACTAAAGAATATTAAAAAGGTAGTCACTTTTTGATTGCTTACATACATTTTCCGTTCGCTATCAAGCGAGTACCGTTCTTGGTAAGCAATTTTTGATCCAAGGGCAGTAATAAATGTCAACCCATCTGTGGCTACCAGCATTTAGTGCGCGATAAAAAGTGTGGCGATTTGAATAAATTTAAGATGTTTCGCCAGTTTGGCGGTAGTATTTTGGTATTCGGCATTTACGCTTGTTACAAACTGTGACACTTGTTCCAAAAGCATGGCACAAGCGAATTTCCAGTTAATCAATTGCATTTTTGAAATTATTTCGTTCTCAAACAGTCGGGCACATTCGTCTTCACCACCACCGACTCCAAACATGTCAAACTCTTACCACGAATTTTTCAGGTTTCGCCATTTGTATATTGCATTTAAAATTTCTCTTTCTTTACTATAATTATTGCTGAAGTGGTGTTGATTTATAAAAATGAAAAACAACTGGTTTTCACACTTCGATATATATAATGTTATCGGTATAATATTTGCAGGGACAATTAATTATTAAATTCCTAATCTTGGAAGTTTCACTTTATATGCATTATTATCAGTTTAAATATATAATTACTCTATTTGCAATACGATTTATAAAACATAACACGGTAGGTAGTTAATAATTATTTTTATTGCTAATTGCACTTTGTAAGATTTGTTAAATGCATGTATAGGCAAACAAACAACGCTTGGAGACTAGTGAACCCTTTTCAATATCTATATCTTTCTCGCTGAACGGTCAAAAATCGAAGGGATTGAAATTCAAAGTCTAGAAAGTAAGTTTCTTAAATTACAACATGTTACAATATTGACGAAACAAACGGTCTTGAACGTCAAAAAGCACATTGAATAGTGGGTATATCTCCCTAGGTCGTAAAACGTATAGTTAAAAAATGAAGGTTTAGAAAAACATGTTACTATCACATGTAAATCGTCTCATGGACATCAAAATTTCACGGTTTTTGATCTCTGTATCAATAAAGGTTCAAAGTTTGCCGCCACTACTATGTATTTGAGGTAGTTTCCACTTTTCCAGTAATGAAGATTGAAAGGCTATCGGATATATTCAGTTTACGTAACTACGTATCTACATTCAATTTATTAGAACCCTCTGAGATGAACATGGTTAAAATCGGCCTCTCATCAAGCGATCAACATCTCACAGCAAAGTTGAGAGAGTGTATTGACTTACTGCGCACTTCTCCAATCCCTCCTTCGACTTTGAAGACGCAATACGTGGGATAAATATTGTAAATGAATTATTACTAACGATACTACAAGTATCGATAAGCTCTTAATAATGTGTACTTAATATCCAGTAGTCTCAACAAAATACTCATTCTACGAGACCTTTTTGTAGTCGATTATATTAAATAATCATTCATAAATGCATCGGAACTAAACCTTAACATATCAAAAAACGAACAATAGCGTGATTATTGAAAAAAAAAAGATAATTTATAATTTATGATATCGCAGCAAATCGTCTGAAACGATTGACGAACTTTATTTGGTACAAATATATGCGTTTTTATCTCCCTTTTTTTCAGTTCGCTTAATCATCTAACAGATTTGGCGCCTATAATTTGGACAAGTTCAGGTCTTGGCCAAACGTCATATCGGGTATACTAAAATTAGCTTTTTGAGAATCGATGACATGGACACACGCACGAGGAGAAGAAGGGCTGTGATTGATAGAAATTAATTCCTTTCGTCGAGACCTTTGAATAGAGTACCATGTAAACAATTTCTTTACCCCCTTCCTCTAACCACCCACTGATTTCGAAAAGGAGCCGCGGGGAGTTATAGCTGGTAGAAACAGTTTTACTAGCTACCACTAGAGGCACGTGTACCTATGCAAAATTTGAGACTAATTGGTCGTCGCATTAAAAGTTATGCAAGTTTTACTGTCCGAAACAGATTCACAGGAAATAAGTAATTCATGTGGGAACGCTCGTTAAGATAACAACATTTAAAGACCTTCAAGGTATAGGCTACCTATTCCAAAAAGTTCTCCAAGGACTACTTGCCCTAAAAGTAGTTCAAAACGGCAGAAGTGGGTCCAGACGGGTGGATGGACAAAACACCAACAATAGCACATTTTTTTAAATATTTCAAAAAAATTCACCAAGAAACGCAATACGCCTCAACGGAGCGATTGTCAGATATGAAATTTTTAAAAGCTAGCTGTTCAGCAATAGATTTTACACTAGACAATAGGAGCAGTTTGTAATTATATACCTGTACCACAGGTGCCTTTATTTATTAAAACTGAATGGGTTTTGTATAACGTGGAAAGAAACGAAAATTTGTGCAGCATTGTAACATTTGTAGCGCATTTTCCAACTCATATTGGAAGGTTCTATTATGACCACTTTCTCCGTCCACCCGTCCGTCGGTCCGTCCGTCCATCCGAGGCGTTAATTACTCATAGAGTTTTCAAGATATTTAGTTCGTTCTTTTTGCATTCGGTAGCTTATATCTCTGGCACCTGTGCCAAGAAAAACCTTGATTGGGGCATGCGCAGACACAGTGTTAATTATCTTCTTTATATATATTTTCTCCTTTGTACACATAAATAGTCCGTTATACATGACCTTTCAGGAAGTACTGATCAATTCATGGAAAATGAGGTAAAGTTACTCGCCTTAAGCCGAAAACTTTTTTTCATTTTTAATTATTATAGTTGGCTTCGATTTAACAGAATAGTCAAAAAACAAATACTTTTGTATCTACAAACAAAATACAAATAAATTGACGCATGGTCAAGGAATTACCGTAAAGCGTAAAAACGTAAGC